GGGAGGGGGAGTTGAAGGTCAGGTGTCTCTAGTTTTCCCCGCGTCTTTATGCAGGCTTGCTCTGATAATCCCACCCCCGGAAAGCCTAGGAAAGATTTTATGCGAATTCCCCGCTGTATGGGAGCTGAGCTGAGTAACACACACCTGTTTTATTGTTGCAATCTGTCGGAGAGTGGTGGTGGTTACTTCAGCTCTCCAAGATGGTGGCTGCTGGTTTTCTAAATATTTTTTCTTGAGCTCTTTTAAAGCATATCATAATTGGGGTTTTATTGTAAAATGTACATAAAATAAAAACCAACAGTGAATGCTGTCTCATAGAAAGCATAAAAGGGGAACAGGAAAAAAAGAGAATTTTATCACTGTGTTGTGCTCTAGAGGCTGTAGGAAGGCTCTGGCAGAGGTGGGAGTAACTGTAGGCCATGTCTTCATTCCCAACAGTTCAGGATTCAAATGTGACATTCAGTTTTGAAACACTGTGCTAATATCTCCCTGCTATACTTACTAAAGCAACTTGGGTTCCAGCAAAAGCACTGTGATCATTCAAGCTGGGGCTCTGGGTACTTGCTTCTTCTTGCTGTTTTTTCTGAATGAGGAAGACCCATCGTGGATATTTGTTTGGGTATTCCTCCTGAAATTTGGTCACTACTGAGAAGGTTTTGGTGGAGTTTTGAAAAAGATACTTACCAGCTCTAAGAACTATGAAATGGACATCTAATTACTTCATGAACAGACTCATGAACACCACTTTAAATCTCAGGTTTCACTTTGGAAGTTTGGATTTTCAGTCCAAGGAAGGTATTGGACTGACTCAGAGGAAACCCACAGGCCCCCCACCCAGGCACCAGCCAGCAGACCTCCCAAGTGGTTTCTACTCTGCTCACACTCATCCCTCATAAACAGCACATTCAATCCCCAGCAGCATCAGCAGCAAAGAACTGGTAGCCCAGAACTTTCCAAATTGCCGCAGTCTGGCTGCAGCAAAATAACCCGGGGGTGATGAGGAACTTGTGTACATTGATACAGCAGGAGTGGAGCCGTTTATTGTGGGACCGGAGGGGTATTTATACATTACACACAGCTTATCTTAATCAACATAAACTAGATACAGCAGTCAACCAATAAGGAATCTCCACACTTAATGACTCACTGGCGTTACTTCACAAACCACTCCCTCTGGCAAAATGCCAGGTGCCATCCTGACTTGTTTACAGACTCTAACACCCAATGGGACAAGAGTTTCTGGCAGCAGCCCAGACAGCACTGACAAGGGGAGGTCACAAAGCTCAGATTGTTGAGGTGGGATGTGTGCTTCCTGATCTGAAATAGGCCAACAGTTCCCAGCTTTTACACAGAGAGAGGCTGCCACAGGTCCCACAGGAAGCCAGAGCTGGGAGGGACTGTCCCGTCAGTGACAGCAGAGTTCTATTCTGGACCAGAAACCAGGAGTGAAGGTGGTCAGGGCATGGCTTCTGCCAAGGCCTCATACATCCAGGCCTCTCACTCTCAAGGACATGCACTGGGCCTTGTAACCTGGAGGGCCTTTGCTAAGGGGCCAGACCTGAGCTGAGAGCAGGCCTTGAACCTGCACCCAGGGGAGACTGTGGTGGTTGTGAAGGCCCTGGGAAGGGTAATGCTGGTGGAGCAGCTTGGGGTTAGCGTGGTCTGATGATTGCTTGGTTCTTGGCCCCAGTGAGGCTGTGGGCCTGGATGTGTCCCCTGTGGTCAGTCAGTGGCACCTGCTTGTCTCTCACTTTGGTGGGCCATAGCAGCAGAGCAGGGGAGGGGTTGAGAGGACCTTAGTGGAGCCCTGTGGATGGTGGCAGCTGTATCCTACAGGCACTGCCTCCCTTGGGCACACCCCTGCTGGAGATGATTGAAGCCCCATGGCAAGCTGGGGCAAGAATTACTTTGTAAGCTGTAACCGGGGCAGGGGCTGGCTCAGTGATAGGGTGCTCACCTGGCATGCACGAAGCCCTGGATTCCATCCCTAGTTCCTTCCCCTGCAAAAAGCTGGAATCACCCTGGGCAAACTAGAGGAAGACTGTGGCTTGCATTTTCCTTCCCAAGGCAGGAGGGCGGATTCACGCCCAGGTCACTCCCTCTGTATCCCTGGCCTTGCTCTTGTCTTCTGTCTCCGCCTTCCACAAGCCTTCTTTCCCCCAGGCCTCACCAATGTTTTGGACTCCCTTGTCTCCTTCTATTCAGTCATCAGCAGCTTTGGGCAGTAAGTGACCACGTCCTTCCTTCTCTGTTCCTTCGGGAGGGACCAGCTTCAGCTGGTCCCTTTCCCCACCTGGGTGCTTGGCCCACATTGGACTCCTTTCTCATTCTCCCTGTCGCAGTCTACCGGGTCTCCTGACTACCCCTGGTCAGTTGTGACTAAGTCTGCAGTGTGGTGGAGGTGGGGCTCATGCCTGCCCCTTAGGATGGCATCTGAGCTTCCTGCGCTGTGTTTAGTGCTGGAAAGTTCCCAGTACATGCAGGTTCTCCAAGCACGGTGATGCCTAAGTTAATTCTGCAAAGTGGAGGCAGGAGGACTGAAGCTTTGCCCTGATGAGTTGGCCTTGGGGCCAAGCCTAGACCCCTCAGGCTGTCCTTGAGTAGTGGCAAGTGTAGGGAAGTGGTACCCAGCCAGCACCTGGGTGGGGTAGAAGACAAAACAGGGGGCCTCAAGAGCACTCAGCCTTTCTGGTGTGTTCTTGGTAATGGAAGCCAGGTGGTTTGAGCACAGCTCTCCCTCACTTCCTCTCCCAGCCTAGGCACCCTGGGAAGATCAGTCTCTGCCTGAAGATGGAGGCCTCCCCTTCCCCTCCAGGGCTTCCAGGGATCAACATGTCTATCTGTTCACTTGCAAGACAGCCATGAATGTCCAGTCGGGGTGTGCACCCCAGCAGGGGGGCTGGTGACTGGGGTGCACACCCCCCATATTTCCCTGTGTCCCTGAAGGCATGGAGAGGAGGGAGGCAGCCCGCAGTTGAAGGGGTGTCCTGCTTAGCAGGCCACAGAGTCTGCTGCTGTGCATGGCTCTCTCTGTCTCTGTGGCTGTGCGGGTGCAGGGTGTCAGAGCTTGTTCCCCGCCTTCCTGGGGGAGGCTGTGTGGCCTTTCAGCCAGGCCCCTGGCCCCTGAGTGATGCCCACTCCCCACCCCAGGTGTGCCGGTGCTTTTGTCACTGGACTACATGACCTCGCTTTTCTACCACATCCCCAAGGCTCTGCTGGCTGCTGTCATCACCATGGCTGTGGCCCCCTGTTTGATACCAAGGTCTTCGGGACACTCTGGCATGTTAAGAATATATATATGGGCCAGATGACGATGGCCACATCTGTCATCCCAGCCACTTGAAAGGCTCTGGCAAGTAGGAGAGCAGCTGGGCAAATTTAGCAGGATCCTCTCTCAAAGTAGAAAGGGCTGGGGTGTGGCTCAGTGGGAGAGCCCTTGCCTAGGCTGTGTGAGACCCTGGGTTGCAATTCCCAGTGCCGAAAAGACAAATATGTGCTGGTCCAAAAGCTGAGAACGCTGTAGCACTGTGTTTGCAAAGCCTGAGGGCACTCATCCCCACAAATCCGTTCTGTTTTGCTTCCTGAAGAAGTGTAAGAACTTATGCAGATTATGAGGCTTTCTTCCCGTGGCCCCAGGGAGTCACCAAATGAAAGTGGTGGCTATTTTATTGTGTCCCAGGGCTTCCCTGCACATTTTATCTTTAGAGTAGCCTTGCAACATGTGGACATTCTGTGTACAATATAAGGCTCTCCTGAGGGAAACTGAGTCTCGTGAAACATTTCTGAGTCACACGTTGGGGGGACTCTGGGACTGCAGTTTGCCCTCAGGACATTTCCTCAGAGAAGGAGACCTGCAAGTCTGGGGGTTTGTGGTCCCCACATACCCATCTCCTGGGTCCCTTGATGTTCCCTTGACAGCCCTGCTGCTTCCCTCCCTCCAAGGTCACTTGAGGGAAGGCCCAGGAGGGTCCTGCCTGAACCTCAGGCACAAAGAGGTCTTCCTCTGTCCAACACCTGTGTACCAGCAGTGGCCTGTGGCTGCTGCCCCTGAGGCTCCAGAATGGAGGCCTCTGGCTGCTTTGTGTCCATGACCACCATTGCTCCACGTGAGAGGACCAGAAGGCTGTGGTGCTGAATGTAGGGTGCATCTTGCTCAGGTGGTAGTGCAGAGCCTGGGAGCAGAGGCGACTCTCAGCAGACTTCTCTCCCAGGGCTGGACCTGATACCACTCTGCATCATGTTCCTGCTGTGCTTCTGGGAGGTCCAGTACAGCGTCCTGGCTGGAACTCTGGTGTCCTCACTCATCCTCCTGCACTCTGGAGTCAGGTGCAAGAGCCAGGTGCAGGTCAGGGGTGGGCACTCAATGGTGGGACTCCTTGGCCAGGCTGTCCTGGTGTCTGAGTTCATGGGGCACTGCGGTTACTGCTAAAGATGACATCCTCTTGTTGTGCACCACAGCAGTCTCCACAGTGCCTGGCCTCCTGCCAGCACCCCTGCTGTTCCTTCAGCGCACTTCCAGCTTGGGACAGGCCAGGCCTGGCAGAGGCTAGGTCCAACCTGCCTCCAGGACTCAATCCCTTCCCTCTGCCTTCCCAGGTGTCAGAGGGCCCCATTCTTGTCCTACATCTGGCCAGTGGCTTGCACTTCCCTGCCATCAAAGCCCTGGGGAGGCAATGTTGAACAGGCCTGGGAAGGTATGTGGCTGGGCTCAGGTCACTGTGAGCTCCCACTTCCCTCTGTTCCAAGGCTCTCTATTCCCCCACCCTGGCTTTCAGGACCGGAGGCCAAGCCCCAGCCATCAGGGAGACGCTCGCCTGCGTGCGCATTAATGAGGCTGACACACAGAAGGTCCCCAGTGGGTAATGAGCCCCATACCACCCTGACTATGCTTCAACATGGACCACAGTGTCCCAAGCATGGCTCTCCCTGCCCGTTAGGGACAAGTGAGTCTTGTCACCCTGACATCCTCACTGGGTGTGACAGAGTGGCCTGCCCCCCAGGATCCCCATGGCACTGAGCTGTCCTGGAGTGCACACATCTGCAGCATTGATTACACCATGGTGCTGGGGCTCAGCGACCTCCTGGAGGACTTCTACCGGAAGGGTGCTTCAAGAAGCCAGCAGCACCCAGCAGGGAGATGGACCACACAGGAGGATGACCTGCTCAGAGACTCATGCAGAGCCCTCCAGAGTCAAGGATGCTGACCCAGGTGGCCAACCCCTTCCTGGCACTAGACACTATGGGTCGTGTTTGCAGAGCACTCCTCCTGGTGGTCTTTGGAGACTGTTCATGTAGAGATCCCTCCCCTGGCAGCAGCCACACACACACACACACCCCGGGCAGGCTGCCCTCCCTTGACCTACATGTGTGGAGGTGAAATGACCCTTTCCAGATACAGGCTTGTGTAGCCAGGCTGCCCACCCTGGGTGTCGAGCAGGAGCGCCTGTTTCCTGGACTGGAGAATGTCTGTCCCCAGGTGCCAATGCTCTGTGCTCTACTAACTGCTGACCTAAAGGGGTTCTGGTACTTCGCCATCTTGGAGGAGGCAGGTGTGTGCAGCGTTTGACTTGGCTGTCCTGCTGTTCCTCTTTCCTATCACACTTTGTAGTCTCTTTGGGGTCAGCCTCCGACACAGAGTTGGGGAGTAGGCAATAGCCTTTGATTCCATTGCACAAACTGAACCACCCTTACTTCTGCTTTTTTAGAGCTTGAAAAACTTGTGTCTTTGGCAGAGAAATAACTGCAGCAAGACCCAGGTACCCAGCCCTACAACAGCTGTAAAGACCCCGTCCCAGAACAAAAGAGATCCCTGCGAAGAGCTTGATCAGACCCTCAGTGGGTGTCTGGTGCTGAAGATTCTCCCAGAAGGTCCCTGTCACTGTGATTTGATACCAGATGCCACCTGATAGACACACTGGCCCAATGGAGCAGAGAAAGGGCTGCAAGGTGACCCCAGAAGAAAAGGGAGCCCATGCGAGGCCCAGGTAGGACTCTAGTGTTCTTTGGGACAACTGGAAAAACCTTCTGCTTGTCCCCTGGGCATGGACATTTGGGGAGAGGGGCTTGGCAAGAGCCTATCAGATTGACAGGCCAAGTGACAGAGAAAGGAACAGGGTTTCACAGCTAGGTGGGTGAGGTGTGCTGTACCCAGCACCTGCCCAGATCTACACTGAGCTCCAGCAGGGAGGAGTCTCAGAGGTGTCAGATCTTGATGCAGCATCCATGTGTGGCTGGGGAGGACACCAAGGTGAGCAAGATAACTTCAAGTCTGTTTCAAAAGAATTCTGTTTGTTTTTTTTTTAATTGAAGTAATAGCTGTGGCGTTTTTTGTAAAAATCATAAACACCTATTGTAAAAAAAATGCAGGAAACCACTCCCCCGGTCCCCCTCCACCCTGTGACCACCCCAGAACTTCCTGCTTCCTGGAATACACATATCTGTCAGAGTGTGGCGGGAACAAGACAGCACCCCAACTTTCCTTCAGCCCAGCTTTATAGCCCAGAAAGTTACACAAAGGGGGGTTACAGATAACAGAACTCTGACAAGCATCACACTAATGGTAGTTTACATTTTTTGCTGGCCCCGACATCAGAATTTATGAGGACCCTTAGAGTCTCAGAGAGGGTTGTTGTCTGGCCAGGGAAGGCCAATATTTATGAGGTGTCACTAAGTTTCAGAGAGGGCTGCTATCTGGTCAGAGAGCCAGGCATGGGTGAGTTCACGGCACAGGCAGGCATTCCAAGCAGATTCAGAATTTGCAGTAATTTATAGTAAAGCCGAACTTATCTTTTTCGTGGCTTTGTGGCGAGATGGCTCCCAATTTTAAGAAAAGATCAGGTTGGGTCTATCACAGCCTCCTGTGTTGCTGGGGTAACAGGAATGGGCCACTGCTGTGTCACATGCCTGTACTCTCCTAGTGTTCTGAAGTTAGATGGACAGGAGTCCTGGTTTCCTTTAGGCCCCTGGGCCTCTGGCTGCTACCTCCGCTGTGGTCTTGGTCACTGTCCCAGGTGCTGGGCACCCGGGGCTGGGGACCCGCACGCTTCTGGGTCCTCCCAAAGGTTTTCTTGGTCCTCTGTGGAGGGAAGCTGCTTTGGTGAACCCGCGCCCTGCGGAAATCAGGGCCTCCTCCGTGACCTGTACTGGTGCACAGCGGCAGGAGAGGGTTCCGGGGAAGGAGCAGTGATCTGGAAGGGTGCCAGGTCCCCGGGGGAGCTTTGCACTAGGAAGAGGGAGGAGGGGCGGTGCCTCGGGTGGAGTGGCCAGTGGACAAAAGAGCGCAGCGGCGGGGCAGCCCATCTCCCTGTGCTGCAGGTGCATCCCCAGTGCGGGTTTTAAGGGCTCCAGTGTCCCTGTGGCGAGGATTCCCTCCCTGGGTACCGGCTCCCACTGGGTAGGGTTCAGGGACGGATATGAGTTTCCTGGGCGCGAGGGACCTCCAGAGACCTCCAGAGACCATGATGCGGGGTGCAGGTGCGGGTTCGCAAGGCATAAGTCTCCATGGTCAGGTGGGGGCGACGCCCAGCTGGCTCTTCCTGCTGGGTCCCGCACCACACCCCCCTGGGCAGCGGGCTGCGGGCCTTTCTTGGCTCCCGAGCGACGTCCCTAAAGGGCAGGCCCTGCACCCCGACCTTCCCCAGCCGGAGCGTGCAGCAGCCTCTCCAGCAGTGCTGCAGGATGAGAAGGAGAGCGCTTAGAGCAGCAAGCAGCCAGAAGGCTGATCTGGGGCCTGTGGCCCCGCCCCAGCCTCCTTCTGCTTCACCTGTAACAACTCTAGTAACTTTTAGGAGAAAGGCGCAGTGTCCGTCCCCACACACGCTGGCCAATTTCCAGGGCAGGGTGGCGTCTTTGAGCAGTGCAGACTCGACCACAGGTCAGCCATTCCTGTCCCGCCTGCTTTTCCTTGGTGGTGGCTAGGGGCGGCTGAGCCTTGAGTTTTGCCCCTGGCCAGTGACTGGCAAAAGGACTGGTGGGAAAGACAGGAAGCTGAGCAGGGAAATGTTGAGTATCTAGGGCGCTCACTCTGCCTTTTGGCCCTTGGTGCAGACTTAGAACAAGAGAGTGCTTTGGAGAGGTGTCCCAAGCCCTACTCTGGAAGTTCTCTTCTGTAGGCTATTGGAGCACTCCATTGGACAACCTCAGACGGTGACCAGCCAAAACACACGGCTCCAAAATGTGACCTGACAGATAGACATCCCCCCCCCCCCGCCCCCATACACTTAGGCATATCTGTGACTGGTTATTCTTAGAAACCTGGATACCAGGAGTAGTTCTGACAGCTGTCCTTCTGTAAAAGAAATTGCCCCCAGTGAAGGAAATCTGCATTAGTAAAGAGGGCTGCTCCCAGACAGCTTCAGTTACCTGGGAAACTGCATAATGACACCATCTCCATCTCATGGTTCTACCGTGGCCCTCTTTTTTTTTTTTTTTAATTGCATATTTATAACCTTTTCTCTATTTTTATTTATTTATTTATTTATTTTTTGTGGTGCTGGGGATTGAACCCAGGGCCTTGTGCATGTGAGGCAAGCACTCTACCAACTGAGCTATATCCCCAGCCCTCTGGCCCTCTTTTAGCCGTGTCCACCCCCAGTAGTCCCCAAGCTCTGTCCTTTCCTGTAGCTCTGGTGTTGTGTAAAGGCCAACTGACCCTTCTTTGACTCATGTTTTGTGTGTAGGTATGTAATCAAATGTGCATAATTATCCTCCTGTTAATCTGTCTGATGTTGATTTAATTCATAGCTCAACTAAAGAACCTAGAAGGGTGGAGGGAAGCCGTGTTTTGCTCCTCTACAGTGGAAAGGAGCCTGGGGGAGCAGGGAGGGAATCATTGAAGGTGTTTGAGTGAGGAACTGCCAGACCTTGGTGTGCAGGGGAGGGGGCCTGATGGGAACTGGGGCTGGGCTGTAGCAGGTGAACTTTGGGAGAGGGGCAGGGGCTGCAGCAGAAGAAGTCTGCATGCAGCTGGTAGGTACCTCCAGCTGGTGAGGCGCCATAGCTACAGCCACTGCTTCTGCAGCTTTTTAATGCAGGACCAGCAGAAGTGGGTGGTGGATAGGTGGGTGTGCCTTGGGATTCACCGGTTAGGCCAGAGTTAAGGCCTGCCATCTTGACCTTGACCCTTTCCCTAGTTGGATGCCACCTGGTTAAGGAGAAGAGTGGGCCTCCATAAATGGCAGTGTCCCCCAGTTATTGGGAACCCTGACCCCAGCCTGTTAGCCCTGGGCCGCCCAGTACAGACTGACCTCTGCAGGAGGCACTGCTCAGCCAGAGGTAACCATGGCCACTAGCACCTCTCTAATGCTGTAAGCTGTCCCTGTAAGACTCACCTAACTCTCATCTGTGCTTAGGGCTACCTGTGGGTCAGCTGTCTTGTCCCCTCTCTCAGGGAGCAGGGTGAGATATTAAGGCACCCGGGGAAGGAAGTGGCACCTGGCTCCAGGCTTGCTTTCCAAGCAGCTCTGCAGGCTGCCTGGGGGTCACCTGTGTTAGGCCAAGGTTCTTCCCTGGCTGCAGGTCCACCTGAGTCTCCTGCCCACCTCCCCCAAGTTCTCAGTGGTTATGTGGGTAGCTGGCCTGGCTTGTGCTTTGAGCTGCAGTGTTAGCCTCTCCTGGGTGGTTGCATTGACAGAGGTGGGCTTCTGGATGGAGTGGGATCCAGGGTAGAGTGGAACTTGGGATGGAGCAGTGGCCTTGTGCAGCCACAGGAGACACACTGCTGCTAGATTTCCATTGGCCAATGAACTTCCTGGCTACAGCAATCTCACTTTCTCAGAAAACGAAACTGAAATGGGACTGTGGTCACATGACAGGAGGCACAGTTGTAGCTGCTGCCTTCGGAGCTCTTGCTTCTCCTTTCAGACCTGCAGGGGAAGGGACACTGGGCTAGAGGATCCCCCAGCCAGAGACACGTCTCCTGCAAGGCGGCACCCAAGTTCTGCAGCCAGTGTGGAAAGAGGCTGCCCCCTGCAGCCCAAGGACCAGGCAAGTCCAAGGGGCACTGGAGTCAAGTGGGGAATGGGGGATCTGTGCCTTCCAGGCAGATGGGAGCAGGGCCAGCTTGCAGCCTCAGGGAGGCCTGACCCTCCCCCACAGAACTCTTCCCAGGAGGCACTTTCCTCAAGCAGTTTTGTGAGGTTCTCTGCTGGAGTCACCTGTCCTGCTTCAAGTTTCCAGCCTCTTTTCTTTGAGGGAACTGAGCTTAGTCCCCCTTGGGGATGAGAAGCCTCTGGCTGAGCTGAAGGGCTCTGGACACTCCAGAGGATGTCTGAGGTGTCTGAGGTGTCTGAGGCTGCTGGAGGGGAAGGGCTCTGTAGGTTTGCAATGCCCTGGGAGGGGTCCCCGCAGCCTGCCCAGGCTGTCAGTAGAGGGACAAGAGGGCACCAGCTGTCAGATGGGCCTTCCTGCTGATGGCCAGAATAGAGCAAGTGCCTCCCCTGCTCCTGTCCTGCTGCCCTAGAGCCCATGGGGCACTGAGCTCCCAGAGGGCAGCACTGCTTTCCCTCAGCCCCAAGGATGCCCTGAGCATCTGGGACTTGTGGACCCTGAGTGGCTGTAGATTCCTTGCCTAGTGAAGATGGAGTTGTGGAATGGTGGAGCCACCTGCCAGGGCTCCCCACCCCTGGGTACCAGGAAGAACATCTGCCAGCTGGCGCCTTGGGAGAGGAGGGTTTGCAGTCTCAGGGGTTTAAAAAAGCCAAGCTGCTAAGCTGTGATGTGCCCAGCATTGTGCTAAACACGACATTATCATAAATCCCTGTCCTTCAGATGCTGAGAGTGAAGCACAGAGAGGTTAAGTAACTTGCCCACAGCCTCACAGCTAGCAACAAGAGACAGGATTTTGAACCCTCTGGAACCCAAGTGCAGGTTGAACTCTGGTTGAGGTCTTGCTGGTCTTGTTTGAGGGGAGAAAGGGGGTACTGGTCTGAGTGATGAGCAGTGCCAGACTGTTTTCACAGGCTGGCTGTGGGGCCAGCATTAACAT